GGGGAAGAGAAGAGGCCAAATTGGCTTTCTAGATATTTTCCCATAATATCCTTTGCTGCTTTCGGGATATATTTAGTTGGAGGAACAATCAATTACTTCACTCAGATGTATCTTGGAAAAGGTATATCTTTTCCAAAAAGATAGAATCACTGTTATGATTTGTTTGGGGTATTGCGGAGGGTTAATTAGAGGTTAGGGGAGAAGTAACATAGTTCCATTGCTAATGTCCTGGACAAATATTCTCTTTTCTGTTGTTCCTCCTCTTATGTCTTCCTATTTTCCCCATTCCTTTCGTGTTTTCGTCTGGTTGATCTGAAATATATGAACAAGTTAAACTCTTCTTACTGCTAACTCTTTTGGTGTTATCTTACTATTTTCCCACGACAGAAGGCATATCTAACGAACATCAAGCAAAAGATCACCTTCCTTCACCAACACATCTCACGTAATTTCTTTTTCTGCCAACCATGCAGCAACTTAGCTACCTTGAGAGAAGGAAGATAAAAAAGCTCAAAGTATCACATCTAATATCAGTACCTAACAATGCAAATCAAACGAAACTACGGAGCTTACATATTTCTTTGTGCAATGAACTTTTCATTTTAACCTACCTAGTACTGTTAATGGACTCCGATCCATGCTTATCTGTTATACTCGACACTAGTGGCTTTCTCAGACTGGTCACTGGGCTATTCCATCCTATAGATGTCTTCCAAACAGATCAAAGTTACATTTAGCTCAGTGCAAGCCGAGTCAAATGAATCTGATGGCAGCTTATTAATCGCACAGAATAAAGCAACACCAAAAAGATGAAGCTTCTTCCTCCAGTGATAGACAACTCAGGTAACAGTAATTCCATACAACAAAGAGAGAGATGCCCTGAAAGGAGTTACTTTCAATAACCAAATTAGCAGAAATTGGTATACATGAACACCACAAAAGAACCACCCTCAAAGAAATGAAACCATTATCTGAATGACCTTCTTTGGCAGTCTCCCCTAACATTACAAAATAACCACTCATTCCATGGTTCAAAAATCAAAATACGGTTCTACCATGAAGACGTGCTAGAAAAAGGAATTGGGTAAGATAAGGGAAAACGATGGTGGGTAACTGCTGTTCATCTGGTTAGACTCAACATAAGAAAACTTTGGTCAGAAGCAAAAGCAACTTGGTTCCAAGGGAAACTACAACAGTAAGTCAGACTTAATCCCTGAACAATTACCCAACATGAACTTCATCAAGATTGAAAACTAGCCTAATACTTTGCCTTGACAGAGCAGTCGAGAACCCGAAAGAAGACAGAACATAATGAGCACCCACTTTTTAACTTCGTAAACTATACCTAAACTATACAACTTATACAGGCTAACTTATACAACTTAGATTATTCCTGTGCATATCTTGATCCCTAGATTGTACAGGTTAGAATTCTGGGATTATTTTTTTTCATTCTCTTTGAATTATATGAAGGCGGATAGTTTTATAAACATATGATCAGATTTAGCCCCAGAACCCTCAGCAGCTCGGCCCCCACCTTATACTATGTAGTGCAACAATTTTTCAGCAGTTGGCCTTTTAGTTTGATCTTTCACCAAGCACATGGCAACCATGTCCTTGAAAGACTGTTAAAGAATCAAAAAGTTTTGGATTTCATACATGAAAAAGCATTGAACCATACTCTAGAGCAAGATCATCTAAATCAACCAGTGCAAACTAAATCACGGTCATAATCAAGTCCAGGAGGAGCACTGTTTATGGTCCTATCACAGGAGAACCAAGGTCTCTAAGTTCAGTTAACACATATACAAGCATATCGCTAAACTATATTTATTTGAAATTGATAACAACTTGTATTAACAGTAAAACTCAGCTACAAAAGGGGATGAGTTCTGATCTTTACAAACAAAAGTATACGGGGGACACCTAACAAAAAACTTACACCTTCCACGCCCAACAAAGCTTACACTTTTCCTATTAAATGTACCAGTTCTCTTATCTTCCCCGACATGTTTCTTTACATCAAAAATAGATTAGACAATTCATCCTGATTTTCTGAATAGGACTGCTAGTGTGCTCAAAATAGTTCCTTTCCTTCCATATTATCCACCATACAGCTAATTTATTTTTCTTGAACACTCTTGAAAATGACTATATACCTTCACTGGAGGGTACTTCGAAAATGGTGCATGACCATGAGCCAGCTTTAAGGCTGTTATTCCAAATGACCAAATGTCAGCCCTGTAGATGGATGATGAAAAAATCATGCCTCTCAAAAAGTAAAGCAGTCCTGGAAAGTGGTAACTATCAGAAATGCTCTCTGAAACCATAAATATTTCCGTAGACATATCCACACAAATGTTTTACTTGGTCAAACAAAATGTAATATTTTAATCAAAGTTCAATATCACATCTTAACAAGGTATGCAAATGCATTGCTACAACACAAATGTTTTACTTGGTCAAAAGCCTCACCTCTCTTGAATATATTTACCTCAAATTCACTCTCTGCTGGAAGAAGGGCTTCCCTCATCTCTTTTTGAGCTACATTTATATTGCCATCATGAGCTACTTGGTCTTCAACACCTCACTTCGTTTCGACATCTATACATCTCCTCCTGCAATTAACTCCAATCTCTTGCAGAACAGATCCAGAATTGCTGTAATCTCCAATCCCTTCCAGTAAAAGGGATGCCCTCTTCCCTTACTAAACTATCTATTTCCAACTGCCCATTACTCAAACCACTCCTAGAATTTGAAAAAGGGGGATACTGGCCAGAAATTACTCATAGAGATCGATGACGAACACCTTTAATGATTAAAACGAATGGCCCTCCGTCAGCTGTAAGTTATTATTTTTCCTCAGTAGCTGCTTATTTTTGTTTACTTCCCTTTGCTTGTCTGTCAATTGCTTTCCTTTTTTAAATCTTGTTGAACATTATGGAGTTTCTGTTGCTCAAGCCTCGTCTAGTATTCGGTAAGGGGGGTTACTGGCCTAAAATATTGAGTGAAAGTACCTGTAATGATTAAAACAAGTCATTCTATTTTCTTAGTCGCTTGATTTTTGATTGTTTGTTAGTAATTCTTTTTTTTTTTTTACTAAAACAAGTATGTACCATCTATTGCCTGTGTGAAGTCGAGGAAGCGTCTCCAGATCAGGATGAAATCTTTGTATTTACACTGAAACATTGTAAAAGAAATCTAGTATAGGTAGAACATTGTGATAAATCTCACTTTTCATCTTACTTAACTACTAACTACAAATCTCATGAAAGTTGTTGCGCATTTTTCATCTCTTCTACATAGAATTTGTTAATCAGGTAGCCAAGACCTTGAAAAGAGTTGAAATTGACTGTCTATTTACATCGCATTGATTTGTAGTTTGATGCTACTGCATTTGATACCAAATATTGACTCTCTTTTTTCAAAAGTATATAGAAATGGGTCTTTAGCACAATGGTTAAAATATCATACTTGTTCATAGAATTTTTCGTGGACATTTACTCTGTTTAGTTGGTACATGTCAAGGACATAAAATCATGTACCTAAGTCTAGTTTATGGCACATGAAGAAATGATAAGTCATCGTTTCGTCTTTTCAACAAGTAAAGAAAGATTTTATTAATATAACTGGTCGACTTTGCTGGTGAGTACAAAAAGTAATATCTCAAAATTCTCCTCAAGGTAAAATCAAAGGCGGATCCTGGATTTATATTTAATGAATTCAACTTTGAAGATTCTTAGCATTGTAATCACCGTATTGTTAAATTATATAGGTTCAGATATAATATTTCTTGATATCTTAGTAGGTTTTTACCTAAATATCAAAAGTTTTTGGGTTTATCTCCGACGGCTACACATGTTGGGACTCTGTTCCACTTCCTTCCTAAGGTTTTTCATTGTCCAAGTCCAGAAATATTGTTTCACGAAAGCAGGCATAGCTCCAAAAATATTAGCAGCACCTCATAACTAGCACAATTACCTACAGAAACAAAAAGGAGCACCATTTAATTCCCAGGTTATCTCAACAGACCCCC